AACCCACGACTGGCCATCGTTGAGTATCCATGCACAATATGGTCCATCTTGCAGTCCAACGTCAACTATCTTGGTCGCGAAGAAGAACTTCAACGACTACGAGAAGCAGACCGACCTTTCCTGAAGTTGACGGAGGATATTTTTGAATCCCAGACCCGAAGGAGAGCACATGCAATAGCCGAAAATCCGGCGACAGCTCAGTCGCAGAAGGAGCCGGAGATCGTGCGCCTCCGGGAGAAGTACTACGAGACTACAGCATGTCTTTGCATGTACGGTCTGACTGGGAAGAATGGACTGCCTATGCAGAAGAGGGTACGGTTCATTGCAACGCACCCCTACTTTGTGGAGGACCTGGACTGGCAGTGCGATGGCAGCCATACACATGAAAAGGTTGAAGGCCAAAACACCAAGGCATCAGCCTGCTATCCTCCAGACCTTGCAGATACGATCTGCAGATCCTTTTGGAGAGTTGTCGAGGCTGAGGACTACGGCACCTTCACCTATGCCGAGCCCCACAGGCGTGCCAAGACTGCATGGTACGTCGACATTAATAAGCAGGAGGACAAATGGAGACCTATTCTGGCCGAGGCCGAAGAGGTGCTTGCGAGAAAGGTTCAGGCCAGTATTTTTGTGGCGCCCGATTCAGAGCTCTACAAGAAGATTTGCGAGCTCGTACCGTGGCAGGTGATGAACATCCAGATCGCTCACTTGCCGAAGGCGAAGCGTGTGCGCCCTGGTCTTGAAGAATGTCATCGAGCCTCCATTCTCTTGCTCAACGACAACTCCGTGACCATTGAGACCGAGTTCCTCAAGACCGCTCAAGCTCCACGAGAACGTTTTGTGACCCCAGTGAGAGTGGCGATCTTTGTGTTAGGCTATGCTCCTGGTGAACCTTTGTCGCCGGCACCAATGGCGCAAGGTGAGAGACAAGTTGTGGTGGCGCCGGAGGAGGACCTTTTGTTGCAGGACGCCCCGGACTCCATCATCACCAGGCAGGCCTATGGCGAAACTTGGTTCATTGGTCCACCATTGACGAACAAGCAGAAGAAGCTGGCCCCTACAGTCGTCAAGATGCACAAGAACTTGGGCCATCCATCTCAGCCTGACTTCACGCGGGCACTGGTCCAGGAGGGCACCATTGAGCCCGAAGCTATTGAACTTAGCCGGAGGCTAAGATGTTCAGTTTGTGAAAGATCGCGGAGACCGAAGACTCCAAGGCCGACTTCATTTAAGGTGATTGGCTCCTTCAACAGCAAGCTTTGCATGGACTTCGTCTACATGAACGACGCTGCTGGAGACACACACCAATTTCTTCACATCTTGGAGCCCAACGGGTCTTTCAACGTTTTCTATCCGAGCCCTACACGAGAGCCTGGCGATGTCTACGACCTCTTCACGCTCCTATGGACTTCGTGGGCTGGATATCCACAATCATTGTGGGTGGACCGAGATGGAGCTTTTCAAGGAGAGTTCTTGGAACGAGTGCGAGCCATGGGTGTCGACATCGACAATCCACCTGCCGAAGCTCATTGGCAAGCTGGAGAAGTAGAAGCATATAACCGCGCTTTCAAGGAGGTCGCGCGGAAGCTGGTGGATGAGATGTCACTTGCTGGAGAGCGAGATATGAAAACCTTGGCAAGTGCTGTTTCAGCCGCTATGAATGACTGTGTGAGATCATCTGGCTGCTCAGCATATCAATGGGTCTTTGGAAAGAACCCAAGAGTTCCCGACGACGTCTTGTCGCCCGACGGGAAGTTCGAAGCTCTCCAAGCCATGGAACTTGACGATGAGTTGAGAAAGCGAGCTCAGGTTCGAGCTCAAGCAGACGAGAAGATGGCGGCCTACAGGTTGAACGAAGCCGTCAGGACAGCGATTCTCAGGAAGTCGCATCCCATCAAGGAGGACTACCAGCCCGGCGATTTGGTGGCTTTCTGGAGAGAGGCCAAGTATAAGCAGGGCAAGAAAGGCCAGAAAGGCAAACGCATTCCAGCTGCTTGGTACCGTGGAATTGTCATCGGACCGCACAAAGGCGATGGAACACCCAAGCAAAACAATTATTGGGTGACCTCCAATGGAAGATGTTTGCTGGTTGCCAGAGAGCAGATGAGACCTGCTTTTGGCACAGAACTATGGCCGGTCCATGAGCACGTCCTGGCGGAGATGCAGGAGAATCCTCCAGACGATTACATCGACCTGAGGACTGACCAACTACCTCCAGATCCTGATCAAGAAGATATCGACCGAGTACCATTATTTGGCTCCGACGTCGAGATCGAAGATAACGACGACGAGGAGAAGGTCGAGATGGCTGAGCCCGGATTGGAGTATTCACCAGGTACACCTGTGCCCTCAGAGCCTGGCACGGATGCAACTACATTGCCTGCTGGTGCGAGGACACGTGCACCGGGAACTCCAGTCGGTCAACTTCTTGCAGATGCCGAGAGGGAGTCAAAAAGACCGAGACTGACTTCGCAGGGAACACCCGAGCCGATCGACGACATCTCCGACGAGGACTTTGGCCCACCGGAAGCATCAGGAATTGGCGAAGCAAACGCCGAGATGGTGTCCGCAGTCGCCGAGGTGGTCAAGGACTTTTGGGAGGTGGACTATGCGAAGGGACTACTTGTTCGACATCATCGACGCCCTCGCAGAGCCCTATACGATCCATGTCGAGCTCGAGATCTTCCAGTTCCCAGCGATACCATTTCAGCTCAACGAGTGACTTTGGTTAAGACACCCGAAGGAGTTCGGAAACGACAGGACACCTGGGTATCGCCAAATTCGAATACTACATTGGATCGACCTTGGACAGGCATAACTACGTTCAAGTTCAGGTCCAGCCGTTCAGCTATGCAGACCCAAAACACCTGGCAAAATCCCCAGACCATGTCACGCAAGGACAAGAAAGCCCTGGAGAAGGAACTTCCTTGGTCCGCAATCCCTGAGGAGCACAAGGAGCTCTATCGACAGGCTTTGGTCAAAGAATGGAACACTTGGATGAAGTACCAGGCCGTCGAGGTTTTGGACACCGAGTGCAGCCGCTATGTGGAGGCCAATGTGGACGCTTCACGCATCCTCGCAGCCCGCGTCTGCTACAGAGACAAACATGCAGCAACGCCCTGGTTGGAGGTAAAGCCCAAGGCGCGCATTGTCTGCCGTGGAGATGCTGACCCAGATCTCTTGGAACTACGGCGAGACGCGCCTACTTTGACAAGGCTTGGTTTGATGCTGATCTTGCAGATCGCAGCATCTGGTGTGGGATGGTTTGTGGTATGCGCCGACATTACTGGTGCATTTCTTCAAGGAGATCAGGCGTTGGCCAAGCGCAAGGAACCACTTTTCATCAGGCAGCCGCGTGAAGGACTACCTGGACTTCTACCTGGTCAGCTGCTGTTGGTGGTGCGAGGTATCTTTGGACTCGCAAACAGCCCACGTTTGTTCTGGCGCTTTTTGCGGGACACCTTGGTCAAGATGGGCTTCGTGCAGTCATCCCTCGACAAGGCGCTCTTCACTTACTACATCGACTCCGAGTTGGTCCTGGTGTTGGGAGCACACGTGGATGATTTGGTATGTGCCGGATGCCCACATCGCGCCGACAAGATCTTGGAGAAGGTTCGAGCTACCTTCGACTTTGGAGATTGGCATGATTCACGCCAGGAAGAAAAGCTAGTCTACGGCGGCAAGGAAATCAAAATTCTGGCCGATGGTTCAGTGACGCTGAGTCAGGAATCCTTCATCCGAGCTTTGACTTTGACGCCAGTGCCGAAATGGCGCGTGCTGATGAAGGACGACAAGCTCACTGCCCCAGAAGTGACAGAGCTCAAGAGTGGAGGAGGATGTCTCCATTGGTTGGTTGGACAGACACGTCCAGATTTGGCCGCCGGAACATCTTTGAGCATGGGTGGCGACCCCAAAGTGGAGAACCTTATGCAGATCAACAAGCTGCTCAAGGAAGCAATCCGGACAAAGGATTGGAGTTTGAAGTTCGTCCCCATTGCTTTGCAACAGGCCAAGATCGTAGCCTTCAGCGACGCTTCGTGGGCAAATGCAGATGACCTCAAAAGTCAAGCTGGCTATTTGGTCTTCATCACCGGCCCGCAGGTCTACACCACTGAGGGTGACGTCGCGAACTTGGTCGAGTGGAAATCGCATCGCATTCGAAGGCGCTGCAGAAGCACACTAGCAGCCGAAACTATGGCCTTGGATGCAGCTGCAGATGCCGCACTTTTCACCAGAGAACTGCTGGCGGAGATCCTCATCGAGGACTACAAGCCGACGCAGTCCGGGAGACTCGACCCGAACGTTTTTCCAACATCTATGGCTACAGATTGTCGTTCACTCTACGATCTGGTCGTGAAAGATGGACCGCTGAGCAGTACCCAGGAAAAGCGTCTGACATTGGATATTGCTGCTTTGAGGGAAGCAGCTGAGGAATTGGAGCCCAGCGCCGAGAACATGAAGGAGATCTACAAATGGGTCCCTACGCAGGTGCAACGCGCTGATCACCTGGCGAAGCTCAAGCCACATCACGAGCTTCGAGATGTTTTGGACGCGAACTATCTCACGATGATTGCCGAGGAGCCGTCGACTACTATGTCAACAAGCGGCGGATGGCAAGCGACTTCGACGACTTCGAGTCGCGGGGCGTCCAGAACGAGGACTTCAAGTCGCGGTGCTGCGCTCGATCTGAGCATGTACAGCCGCGCATATGGGGATATGCTTGGCTCTTTAAAATAAAGACCAATGCAAATCCACCAGCATTCCATATCACCATGTCACATGACGCATGATGCCCGTTGATCAGGGCCCTTGAGTCGCTCAAAAGACGTGCGTGTGCAACCGCACTGACAGCTGTGTTTCTTGGGTGCGAATCCCCGCTCTTGCAGTTACCACATAACTCAGAGATTCTTTTCAACCTAAACCACCTTGAAATTGTGCAATTGGCATCTTGGACCCATTGAAGACCTAATCGACCCTGCCAGTTCATGGTCGTTCTCCAGGAAGTGCCACGAGAGACTATTGACCAGCTGCTGCAATCAGGGCCGAACAGCAGCAGGCCGAAGGGGAGCAGGCATAGAACGAGGTAGATAGCTGTCCTGGGCAGCAATCATATGTAATCTGTTTGGGTGCGTTATTGCTTTGGCATTTGGCTGCATATGGGAATGTCTCAAAAATAGGGATGCTCGAAACTTCTTGTTTTGATTGATAAATTAAAAGTTTCGAGCATCCCTATTTTTGAGACATTCCTACATGTACTAAGAAACCCACGCGAATCCACCATTCGATAAGAAGTTCATGCCACGGCTGGAGTAGTCCCAATCGTATTGGGCCACATAGTATCCATTTTCCCTGCCAACATGTTGAGATGGAAGTAACAAAAAAGGAAAGCCGTTGATTTTGTGTCTAATATAATAATATCAATTAATATATGTTATATATGTTATATGTTGTATATGTTTCAGGCCGCAATGACACACAGCTTAAACAGGCTCAGAGCCTCCAAACAGTACCAACATTGCCGCATCCAGCAAAAAGTTCCACCAGATGATACCGTGGAGTAGCATCAGTACTCCAAAGTACCAACAGGGTCACTGCGATGAACGCCTCATACAATCAAAAGTTCTATTGGTCAAATGTTGTTCCCAAGACGGATGTTGCATTGCACATGCACATATAATCATAACTTAGTTCCAGGCTTTGGGACACTGCATTTGGGCCAGGTTGGTAAGAATTGAATGTTGTCTCCCCTTTGCCATGACCTTCTTTGAAGGTAATGCCTTTGTTGAGCCCTCAAAGTGCTGCATGCAGCCCCAGGTAACATCAACAATACCATGGAAGGAAGCTGTTCAAATCAAACATGATATGGGATACCTCAAACTTTGGGTTCCCAAAATTCAGCAAAATTTTGGGAACCCAAATTTTGGGATATTATAAACGAGATAGGCAGACCACGGGTAGCGCTCCGGGCCATCCATCGCTCCATCGCACACCTGCACAGGGGGCAACTCCGCTGAACAAAAATGAGATACATGACCCATAGATAGAAATCCACTTGTATTGCTTGCTCAGTTTTAATATATGAGCCAGTCTCCCAACTAAAGCTTTACAAAGGTTGCAAAAATTAACAGCTCTGCACAAAAGAATTTTCTCCATCGCTTTGTGTTCGAAAGTTTTCCAGCCAAAGTCGCAATCGTGTTCTCACAATTGACTTGCGAGTATGCCCCAACATGCCTCTAAATCGGCATAATTTGAATGTTGACAATTCTGAATCGTCAACCCGAAAAGGGACTGAACTGTCTGAAGCGCAGCCACATGGTCAAAGCTGTGCATTGACAAACGCACAGGACCAACCCCAGAAAAGATTGCTGGGCAGAGGCTTTGTATGGCACCAATAAAAGTTGATCATAGCACCAAACTATGATAAGTTGAAACCACATCAGCATCTAGCTTTGGGAAAATGATTTTGACTCCATGTGTGCCACCAACAAGCCATGTCTCACCTAGACTCCACTAAGTGCCATAGCATTCAGAAACGCAAAACACTTGTCAAAGATCTTTGCGATTTCACTCGCAGTCAGCATAAGCCTTGGAAGCCGCAACAGCGAGGGGACATACTGTATATCATATGCATTCATAGCATGCAAGCAGGCACATCATAGTGGACACATACAAGTGGATATATACAAGCAAGACTGTAAAAACATTTGCAAACTTCAAACTTGCCAAAATGTTGTGCTGAAATTAAATGCTAGAAACCTGTCGGGCAATCGACTTTGCTTCCTCCTCACTCTTGCCTCCCTTGAGTTCGATGTTCAGTGCTTTTTTATACGCACAGCTTTTCCTGCTATACCTGGCCTTGCATTCTGCTGAAAGTGGCTTTCTCGTGCTGCTTGTTGAAGCTGCAGGTGCAGCAGGTGCCAAAGAATCACTTGCCGGGGCTGTTGCTTTGCGTCCCTTGGGTTTTTTAACAGCCATATGTTCTGTTGCTGCGCTTTCCTGCCCTGTGCTCTTACGTTTCTTGTTTCCCTTCATTGCCTTGCTCTCCTTGCTTGCCTTGCTCCCTGCAACATCTTTCTCAGCTTCATCGCATCGTGCTGCTTTGCTGCTGGTAGCAGGCTTGCTTGACTTTCTTTTGCGTTTCTTTGTGGTGGTTTCAGTCAGCTCAAGGTGCTGGCCACACTCCAACGCAGACACATCTGCAGTGGCACATGCTGCAGCATATGCATCAAATGCTGTCCCCTTGTCGTTCATATTTCCTTCAACTTCGAGAGGTTCATAGGTTTGCTTTTTGCTCTTTGCTAACTTCTTTGCAGCAGCTTTTGTGATGGTGCTTGCATCAGGTTCAGTTTTTTTCGCTGGCTTGCTCTTTGCCTTTGCCTTGGCTTTGCTGCGCTTAGATTCCTTTGGCTCCTTTTGATCCTTTGGTTCGGGGTGCTTATCATTCTTTGGTTCCTTGTCATCCTGCACCTTCTTCTTTCGTCCTCTTGGCTTTGGGGGCTCCTGCTCCTGAGCTGTCACTGGCTTGAGTTTACCCCAATCATTTGGCTTGGCTGGCAGAGGGGCTTTGCATTCCAAAGCTTTGTTGCTATCTGCTGTTGGCTCATCACTTGCTGCTGCTGCTGCTGCTTTGGCTTGTTTCACTGTTTTCAAGTAGTCACGCATACGAACACTGGGTCGGGATGTTGTGGATGTTGCTGCATTTGCTGCTGCCTCCATTGCATCATCCTTTGGAATGAGTTGCTTGCTGCTCTCATCCTGTGGCACTGCAACAGTAACATCATCCTCATTCATCTCGCCTTCCTCATCAAAAACAGGTGGTACAGAAGGTGTGTTTTCCTTGGCTTCTACTTCGCTGGTTTGCTCTAGGTGGGTGACCTTGCTACCATTGTCAGATCCTTCTCCTCCACTTTCAAACTGGTTGGAATCCAAACGAAGGGTACTCAAGTGGCCAGTAAGTTTTTGGATTTCCTCCATTTCCACCTTAGGGCTGCCAGCCGGTGTGTCCAACATAGCAGCAAAGTCCTCGCCCTCCAAAGTTGGCACAGGGGCTGCTGGAGAAATGGCACCTCCAGAAACATGCATGCACAACATTCTATTTGATTCCCACTGATACATATTTGACAAAACTGGGTTTGAAAACCAAAGCCTGTAGACAGTTCGAACATCATTGGTTGGGTCTCTGCATTGTCCATACCTTGGACACATGTAGCGAATGAAAGAAGAAATTACCATATAAAGATACAGCATAAGTATATGCATGACCAAAATAGATTTTATAGCAGAAACACTTCAGTTGTATGCACAAAATGTTGACATGGAGCAGTAGGCCGTTGGTGGATATGCCACGGTGTTTGGCTGAATCTGCATTTTGGCCATGTTCTCATCTCGTTGTTTTTTGAATTCGACCATCTTGTTCAGTTCAACTCGAAGAGATTGACATTGCTTCAACAGTTCCAACTGCTGCTGCAAATGATGCATCTCCTGCAAGGCAGCCAGCACACGAGGATCCTGGCAAGCGAGGCTGGATGGGCAACAAAAAATATATATGCACACACACACATATATATATATATATATATAGGGAATGCTGACATGCACACATTTTGATATATATATATATTTATAAATATATATATATATATGCCTGTCCAACTAGTGTCTAGGGGCACCTGGAACGGCTCTTTGGGTGGCGTGAACTCAGCCGGCAGAACACCTGCAGAGCTGAGGGGTTGAAGTACTCTCAGCCTATCATTTGGTCTATATCACATTTTTGATGTATGCGCATTTTAAGAAATATGTTTCCATTTAATGGGGGTTTCAAATTCAATCGGGTTTCCAAATCCTTTTTTGACCATCATGATTTTTTGAACAGAAAAATCTAGAGTCGAAAAAAATCCAAAAAAGGGTTTAGAACATCCATCAAGTTTGAAACTGATATTCAATGTAAAAATGCAACAAATGTACATCAATGCCTGGCCTTTTGGACTTGGGGTCTGATAAGTGGGACTCGTAGCTGTAGGAGACGCCAATGCTTGCTTTTGCACCACTTTGAGGGGAAAGAGACTTGGATGCGGAGCATGAAGTAACCTCCCATTGACCAACTCATGTGGGTTCCCAAACTGGTCAACTACCGCAACTGCAGGCCCCAGCTTGGCCACAGCACCATGGAGTTGGCTTTCCCAGCCGGCAATGTACTCGATGATGGATTCCTGGCAGGAAGAGTAGTGGGTTCCAACCAAATGGGATGAGGACTTTGTAAGACTTGAGGCTTAGACGGAAGCAGGACCATGCTGATGCTTGTTGACATCGGCTTGGTTATAGCCAGAACCTGGGATGTTTGGGATAATGTATAATATATATAATATATATAATATATATAATATATATATATAATATATATAATATATATAATATATATATAATATATATAATATATATAATATATATAATATATAATATATATATATATATAATATATATATATATATATATATATTATATAACGATGATCATGCATAAAAAACAAATAAATAAGAGTGGACATAAATTTGGCATTGTCTAGTAACACTTGCTTTTGGGGTCCTCCTCTTCCACCTCCATCTTTTCCATCATCAAATTTTCATCATCAGTGAAACATTCTGACTCACTGTTTTCCTCCAACCCATAGTCATCCCCATCACTCAGTTCATCCTCATCACCCGGTTCACCATCCTCTCCACATCGTGATGTTGGACCTGAGCGGGGAGGCGACTCCAGATCGATCTCAAACCCTTGGCTGATCAAGATCCGCCGCAAAGCCTTCTCTCTGGGGACATGGGGCCTTCTTGTCACCGAGTTATATACTGAAATCATCCTGCGAAGTGCCCATGCTTGAATATAGATCGCATTGCCTTAGGGCTGAGTCACACATGTTGTAAATCACATTCAGTCAACCAAACCACTACCACCTAGAAATACAAGTTGGAAAGATTTTAAAATTGTAGTGTGAAGGCACGAGGAATCGGGATGTTCATCAAGCCGTAGAAACTCTCGATGTGAACTTCAAGAGTCTGAACAGTAACCCTGGTCCCCAAGTGAGTAAGTGCATGAATAAGCACATGCTCATTCTGCACACAAGTGTCTCGACTGATGTTATTCTCCTGAGTGAAGGTGACCTAAGATACCAGCAAATGTGTTGAAACCTGAAGTGGTGTGTTTATCATGAACGCAGTGGTTTAAAAAATGAAGGACTCTATCAAAGTTGGCAGCCTAAAAACGATTGGTTGTGTTTTTCAACCTTCAATGGGGCCCCCAATGCAAACCCATAACATGATCTTCATTGGATAATATTGCAACTATCAGATCGCTTAGACACAAGCTGAAGCTGATGAGCTCGCCTACGTAGATCGGGCACAGCTTCCCAGGCACGTGCCAGGTCAGTAGCTGAGGGAGCTCGGTCTTCCCCAGCACTCATGGCCACAAAACCGAAAGGTGAGGTTGTAGGCACACAACAAGATATTTTCCCCATACAGTTTCAAATGTTGAAACCAGATTTTGATAAATATTTATAACAAAAAGATAGTTGATATATGTTGAAACTAGATTTTGTTTGGAAATTACATACTCTGCTTACCGAAGCGTTGCATATCTTATCAAAAGAGCCCAGCTGCAGAGGAATCACAACACTGTTGTCATGTGAAGTTGATCATTCAGCCACAACCTCGAAGGGCTCACAGTAGCCCAAAAGATTATATTACATTGACTTAATTGGAGTTGATAGTTTTGGAAACTGCCCTTCAGGATTGTGGCCTCTACTTGAAACCCGAAAGAGTGGAAACGACCCGGCCTTCACCACTTCTCCCATGCAGAAGCAGTCAACAGGCATTGCACCGAGCGATTGTGCTTCTGTTGTGTTTGTAGGTGATGAAGGCTTATCATTAATAGCATTCTATAGCTATCAAAAGGCCAAAATGTGTTCCCAGGGTTTTCACAATTATTAGATGGAACTCCAATTTTGATATGATGGTTCCATATGGTTCCCCAGTGTTACCCCATAGTAAATTTCTATGTGGCTGCCTCCTCAAGCATGCCACCCTGTAAGCATTCATCCCATATCAACTGCAGCCAAGGATTGGCCTATGGACGGTGGCAACGAGCTGACCAATGGTTATCCCAATTTACCCCATATTTCAATCATATAGTAAATGGTTATCCCAGATGAATCCCTAAATCACCATATATAGTCTGTCAACATTGGGATTCTTCACTCCAAGTACTGAATGATACTGAATGTCTTATGTGGGCCCATTTGGCCCAAAACTGGTCGATTTGGGAAAAATCAGTCGATGTGGTCAAGGACTACTTTTTCTGCCCGATATCTCAATAAATGGTAAACAACATAGTCTACCAAAATATTCTTATACGATCGAAGATCTAGGTAAACATATCCATGGCCCTGGCTTCAAAAGATGTTTATCATTTTACAATAGCTTGTAGATCGTTTTGTAGATCGTTTTGGGCGATAGTTCCAACATGTTCCAGGATAACGTCTCAATCTACCATTCCATCCTCCAGGATAATATTCCTGAGCCACTGATCTCATCCCAAGATCGTCTGGAGGATCTGGAAAGCTTCAAATCGCGACTACACTACATCCAAATGCAGCTAGATCAGCCGGCTGCTTAGTACCCAGAGTTTTCCAAATGCACACTGAAAATCCTGTCGCCCAAATTGGGTGTGTCCGAACATTGTGGATTTACAGCGCAAAAATCCTATAAAGACTACCCTGTGTCAATACAAATCCCAATTTTGGATGTGTAGGAACCGCGGTTTTATCAATGTCAAAAGCAGCAGCTCATGGCATTGGTGGCAGCTTCACTCTTCCCTTCAAGAGCAGAACGGAAAGCCCATCGGTGGGGACAGGCCTTCGTGACACTTATATAATGAGATTCAGATGATGTTCTGAGCAAATACATGAATCTAAACAAAAATCATGATTTCAGATAGTTTTGGCATGGTTATAATTATTCTGCGGATGTTAAACATTGGTTGTTATTTGCAACTTCCAGGTTGATACCAGGTAGCCTCTATCATCTCTCCAGGCCAGATACCGTCGTGGCTTTGGACAGGCGATGGAACGTTGGGCCACTATGCTAGTGGTGAACGGTGGGAGCGATTTTGGTATGGATATCCATATTCCCTATTAAATACTGTATAGAAAAAATGGGAGCCAGTTGAAGCTACGAATAGAATGAATAGAATGTCCATGAATTTCCTAGAATTTCCTAACCACATCATAGCATGACTGTTTAAAGCCAAGTTACTGGTTGGTGGTTTGGAACATTTGGATTATTTTTCCATATATTGGGAATCATCATCCCAACTGACGAACTCATATTTTTCAGGGGGGTTGAAACCACCAACAAGTGGAGATCAATCAATGGATTTTCTACAGGAAACCAAACATGTTCCCATTAAATATTGGGTTGTCCTGTAAAATTGTCCTTGAAACCGATCCAATGAAGATATTTAATATTATTTAATGGTTTGGTGAGAGAAGATGCAGCCGCAATCAACTATAATCAACTCCTGTCTGGTCTGACAGGGCTATGGAATGACCTGGAATGATTTTTGAACAACAAATTAAAACCAGCATAGGCACAAATTCCTCCAGCTTGTCTTCTTACATGTGGAGGTTAGTCCCAACATTATCGGTACCCCTACCCCTAATGGTATCCCATGGTAAAAACGACCTCATGCTCCATAGAAATTCCTCGAACTTCGCCGTTGAAACTGGGTCTGAAAATGGTGAGCCCGCACTGTCGGAGAGATCTCCCAGGCATTTGCAGGCGCTTGCAGAGGAGCGTCCAAAGCAACATCGCGTGTTTTACCTGGCTGGGCACCTGGACGGGAATGTGACAGATCCAACAGTTTGACGGATTTTTCTGTTCACATCAGGGTTTCACCAACCCCGCCACAATAAAGTACGCCAACCCTCGGGGACAAAAGAATAACACCACCACCAAATAAAGAACGTCAACCGTTTTTGTTGTTCTTTTCATGGTGTTTTCCCATTAGAATGATCAACGATCTGAATTAAAACGTGGAAAGATATGTTTAGTTTTTTTATAACCCCCTCATTCAGAAATGCAAAAAAGTGAATCCCAAAGAGGGAGACTTGAACCACCTCGGAACCACAATGAAAAACAAGGTCACGCGCGGGTATTTAACCTGGTCTCATTTGTGTCTTCGACAGCATTTCGTCCTGTAAAATACAGGAGTTTGTGTTATTGGGGTAAATTCAGCCGTCGCGGCGCGTTTCGTTTTCACTCATTTCAATTTTCCGAGGTGACACTTCAAGTCTGCAGTGACTGGTAAGTGGTATCGCCAAACAAAGGCATGCATATACAAAATCAGTTTTTGATTCAAACCACATTTGGACCAGTCTTTGTTGTTCAAAGAGGAAGGAATGAAACGGTCAAGCGATTGCCACCATCTGTCCACTGCTTGAGTTCCAGCAATGGTGGCTCCAGGTTTCTTCCAAGTTTTCAACTTTCGAGTGAACTGTTGTTTTCGATGCGTAACTGGAAAATTTTTGTTCCTTTTCTCTTTGCACAGGCTCTCCCACGCTTTGGCTCCATCACTATAGAGACGGATTTTTTTGGAATCGCCTAAAAAGGTCATGATCTTGGATTGAACAATTTCAGACTTGGATTCCACAGGTGGACTTGCACCTGGAGGCACTAGCTTGAATGGTAAAACCTTCAAAACAATGTTGCCACCTCGTTATCATCCCACCCCACCCCACCCCACCCCACCCAAGACGTAGCATGACCTAGCCAAGTTGGTAGCATCCTGGACATGACGACAACGTAACACGACGTTATCATCCCACCCCACCCCACCCCACCCCACCCCACCCACGACTAAAATACCCAAAAAACGCCCAAAACTACCAGGTTATTTATCAGCACGCCTCCAAAAACAACACTGTTTATTATCCCCTTTAATAAAGTCACTGAATTTTTGTGTGGGATTTGGGATGAGTATACTTAGCTTTCAAAATATTGTTTAAACTAGATTATTTTTGCAATCTCAACCCTTTTGAAAAGACCTTTATAGTGGGGGCCCCCTAAATGAAGTGCTCCAATTATGAGGACCAGAGTGCAACAGTTTTCTCAATATGTGTTTGTGTTCAATTAGGCAATTTGTTTGGTGATACTAAAATGCAACGTCTTCTCAATATGTATTCGTTTTCAATTAGGCAATTTGTTCAGCAACAATAAAATGTCCAGGGTCCCCCAGAGTATCTGTGGCCTCAGCATTATTCGTGGCGCAAGTATGTTTGAGGGGGGGTGGTAGGGGTTTATTCAAACATGATTGGGAAGTTGGTGATTCAGACCAACGTCGACAGGTTTTCTTTGTTTTAATGGAGGGGTTTCCTATAAAGTAGCCGGTAGTAGCCCATGGTAGCCATAGATTTTCCATGTAAACCATCTGGGATCCCCGTGGATTTCCAGGCCTTGCCACCCTTCCTCTTCGCCAAAGCCGTGGAGAATCTTCGGGAGCGTCGGGAGTGCCGAGGGGATGAACGGGGAACGTTTCGAAACGGAGACCTTGCCATGGACTAAAAACAAGGTGGTGCCCCTGGCCACGATAGCGTTCAGTTGGTGCGTTTATAACTCCAATAACTATGGTTTTTGTTGGTGATATATCTATAGTTATACCACCTTGTACATGACTTTACAAGGTAAACGTTGACATTACATTGTAGCACCAAAACTGATTAAACAAGTTCATGTTCCAGCAACACTTGTGATAGTCTTTGTATTTTGTTTGTTCAGCAAAGATGAACACGTTTTACCAGCAAAAAATGATGATGTTACCAGCAAAAACGTGCCTTTTGTCCTCAGAATGAAGATGGGACCCAACTACAAATTCTTCCAGCGAAAATGTTGATTTTACAAATCAAACCATGGGCGTTGCATGGGCGTTTTAGATGTTTTTTTCCCGGGAGGTTGTCACCCTGACCCAAGGTGGTGGTGATGCTGATCCAGACTGCTGGTTGATGAGTTGATGGTATCCCTATATCAGTTCCCCAGTGACCACCACAAGTCCTGAGACAGTACCAGAAGTGCGCAGATCATCCAACATACAAAATCATATATATATATATACATATATATATATATATTTACATATATATATATATTTATTTTTACATATGTACTGTACATATATATATATTACATGTGTGCTCCCTGCAGGGTATGATTGTCAGCTAGGTGATATGGCCCAAATACAGGTGAACATACCATACCATGGAACATCGGCATAGCTCCATGACACCATGATCCATATCATCCATCCAGATTCAACCTATCCGCGACGCCCTCCGGGACTCCGCGACCAAGGTTGCTGGTCCAAAAGCGGCTGGAACCGGGTGATTGTCGAGAAACCATTCGGCAAAAACGGTCCGGTCGCCATGGATTGGTGAAAAATCACACGGGGGATTCATCGCCAGGGCTGCCAGTGTGATGCCAGTTTCCCATGGGGAAAAAGACGGTTAAATCATCATTCTGCAGTATGAAAAATGAAAGATGCCATGAATGTAGATGATGTGAAATATATGATGATATATTTAGGAATGAATATTTGGATGATGTATACACCTACACTAAATATAAGTGTCTATATGTCTATATGCTACATGTACGTGTCACGTGTCGACATGAGGAATCCAACCAGTGTGAAACGGTGAAGCATTTTCCGCATTTTCTGCCGGGATCAGCTTAGCGGCTATCATGGCATCTGCAGGTACACAGGCTGCAGAACTGACTGATAGCCTGGAGCTCAACAAGGGACCCCAAAAAAGCAGCCAGCACCTTGGCGTCGCTATGGGATGCTATAGGTGAGTTTTTGCTTCATGATTTCTTGATGCAAACGAACGTTCGTTACGCTCTTGGAATCTCTCGATGAATTTCTCCAGCTGACGCTCTTAGCTGACGCTCTTGGCCAGAGTTCTTATGAAGTTCTTGGAAAATGCAAGAAAAAAACAATAGAGAAGAATAACATGGATTGTTTCCTATCATTTTCTCACAACAGCTCCGGTTGTAGTATGTTGTAGTATGTTGTAGTATGCTGTAGTATGCTGTAGTATGTTGTAGTATGTTGTAGTTAGTAACAGTTAGTATGTTGTAGTATGTTGTAGTGAACCACTTGAAAAGATGTATTCTTCTTGAAGAAATCACCTCACGCCTCACTTCTTGAGGTATAAATCCCATTCGATATTGCTTGCATTTCGTTTGCATGCAAATTGATTGAAACCGTCACAAACCCCATCAACGAAAACAGACATATCTCTATACATCGCTATACCATAAACCAACGAATTCAGATCCAGTCGCTTCAAGTAATTACATAATTACCATAGATATTACCATATATTCTCCGATGTTTATCATGGTTTCTCCATTCTTCGAGTCGAGGGTCTAGCTGGGCCTCCCCATGTCGTCGTCTCCCGCGTTGGCGACCGATGCGCTGTTCGCCGCGCTGGCGAAGCATCCGCGCGTCACGGCGGGAGATGGACATCCCATGCCGGATCGCTGTAGCACCTTGGATCGGCGAAGCCACTGTGGTCCGGGAGCCAGAAAGGTAACTTTGCAGTTGCTAAACCCCCAGGGTTGATGATTAGTTGGGGGATAAAAAACTACCCTTCATATATGGATATACACATATATGGGATCATAATAATCCAAGAACGGGGAATCCCGTTCTTAACCAGCCAGGATTAAATGGAATGATAGAGGGAATTATTTCACACTGTTCAGGTGGTGTTTAACCAGGCTGTGATGATCATCGTCTGCGATGATCATCGTTGAAAAACATGTTTGCATAGATTTAAGGGTCGTTTATTGGGCAAATGAACATCGAGTCGTAGATGTTGGTGAAATGTTAACAGAAGATATCCCGTAGAGCATCTCGCTACGGATATCCAAATTTAAGGGTAACACAACCATTGGACTCATTGGACCCACAATTGGCACCAAACATGAACCACACCCATAGCAGCGGGTTTGCCAAGAGGTGATGACAGCTGATGAGGATGTGTTGAAAAGGAGAGGTGGAGCCTAAGTGGTCGAAATAGCCAAACAATGATTCTAGTATGCACAATATTGGTTTATTACACGGGCTTCAACATTAAAGCGCCGGGGATGTCATTCTCAAGAAATGGATTGGGATATCATGATATATCATGTGAGTGTAGGTTTCTTACCAGACATGCGTATATAACCTTGGGAATTCTTGGTTGAACCTGGAGTAAACATGGAATTTCTCGGATCTGCACAGAGCAACCCAGTTCTGGTCTTGGGGGCCGTATGTCCTTACATGACTGGGTCGTGAAATGTTGGTAAATGTTGGTTAAGATATTCCAGCACCAGGGGTATATATGGAGGTTTCCTCGAAAGGTGGGGGTAGCCCCAAATCATCCAGTCGTCTTGGATGACCATGACGAAGCAACCATGGTGACTCTGTGGGATCCCTTCGAAGCCTTGCGACAGCCCAGGAGTAGAGGATCTTTTCGACTGGGAAGCTGTGGCCAAAGAGACCAAGATGTCCCGCGAGGCCCAAGTCGTCACCAGCTGAAGCTCCGATAAGTTGCAGTCATGGCATGACATGGCTCAGTTTGCTCAAGTTTTTAGGATATCTGGTTGGTGGTTTGGAACATTTTTGATTTTTCCAATCCAGTTGGGAATGTCATCATCCCAACTGACTTGAACTCCATGATTTTTCAGAGGGGTAGGTTGAAACCACCAACCAGATATTCTGACATACTCTGACTTCAACAAAATATACCCAACTCAATGGTCTCTCAGCTGAGCGCAAAAAATATTGGAGGATTCTCCGAAAGGCCAACATAAATTGAACTAGTTATAAGATCAAATCAAAATGAGTTCATTGGCATTCATTGGCCATTTGTTCACCTAATTAATTAGTTCATTCGGTAATGAACTAGTTGCGTATGGCCATGTATAATCAAATAGTTGGTTAGTGGATTATTGATAATTAATCAATTAATTAGTTGACTTGTCCAGGAATCACTTTCCATACTTCATTAGTAACCTATAGCTACACTGAGCAAAGTAATCCAGAAATTAAGGGAACATACAGACTTGTATGGTTAATTGTACTTAATGAAATGCCAATTAATCAGTGTCAGTCAATTGTTCCTTCAGTATGGTGGTTTTAGGATAATTTAGGTAGGTGTGTGGTGAATGATGGTTATAATCAAACATCATTCATCATAAATCTGGTTGGTGGTTTGGAACATTTTTGATTTTTCCAATCCAGTTGGGAATGTCATCATCCCAACTGACTTGAACTCCATGATTTTTCAGAGGGGTAGGTTGAAATCACCAAACAGAAATGGTCAATTGGGTATGGTCAAAATTAGGTACCCCAATAATTGGATGGTTAATACTCAACTAGATATTCACATCTGTGGTCCCACATCGGTCTTCCATTTTGACCTACATCCAATCCCATAGGATCCATGTATGCCATATATGGTAACATGGATCCCATCAATATACCCCAGTCATGTTAGCAAATATACCAGCACCATGGATCCTATGGGAATATCATCCAATTGGTTCCTGGAAAACTTCCTGCACCAGGCTCTTCTGGATGCCACCTTCGGCCCCGGTCCTCGCCGTGCGGGGCTGCTGCGCACGCGACGAGGAACTGCGCAGTGGCCGTTGACGGAGGAAGGTCGACGGCAGCTGGGGGTGTTGGTGATCCCTGCAGCTCGGCGGAAGAACATGGCATGTTCATAGGGAAAATATGGAAAAAGAAATCAAAAAGATGGGAACATCAAGGAAAAACTTCGGATTTTCAGATGTGTTGACAGAGAAAATGTGGGAAGATTAGATGATTATGATGATTCAACCATCGAGTTTTGGGAAACTGATGTGTTAAGATATATGGAAAACATCCAGAACCAGCTTCACAAAGGCTATGTTAAACCTAGGCATTGTGACTGGTGAGTTTTTGGTGTCCATCGAAGTTCTAGGTTGAGTATACTCCTATTGGGGATGTAAGACACTCGCACATGATTTAGTAAATGGATGGTTTAATACTGGGTTTACCACATTACCATTACATCTATCCGGTGGTGAAGGGAGGGAGTGATTTGGAGCGATTGGGGTATCCAGGTTTTAATATGTCCCTAATGGGGAGCCTTTTCCAGCTAGGACTTTCCCCATAGATCTGGGAATTTCATGAAAAATAGGAAGGTCACCATGAAAATAAAGATTTCACCATCCAAACTTGGCCGAAGGAGGAGCGGGAACCCGGGTTTTGCGGGAGGGGTTATATTAATGAAACCTTGGAATTGAAGTGGTTGCTATGTATGTCATGCTAATCATTGTTTGGAATTCATGGTCAGAATGATTGCTTGGAATAAATGGTTAGAAGACGATCACAAACATTCGAACAGAACAAAGATTGGATAATGTGTTAAGTTGATTAGTTTTTTCAGTGATTTGTTCGTTGCATACGTTACTGCAAATGTGTTGGTCTTCATTTTTTTGTCTAGCACAAGTTGATATAGTTGAGTCTGCTGGTTTTGATTTGAGAGTTTTCTTTATTCACAGAAGGCACCCTGAAGAAACATCAGGGCCAAAAGTGCCAAAGGGATTCCTACAGGTTGATCCATGGTCACTCACCCCACGCAAGCAGCTCGGGGGGGGGGGGCATGATTTTCATCACCGTCCCAGGACTTCGTTCAGGAGGATGAAGAAACCAAGATTTTGGGTGAAACTTGGCTACATTTGGCTACATTTGGCTACCATGGTCAGGCTTGCTCCAAGCTACTTTAGATCAATGCTGTCTTTTTTCGAGAATTTGTGTTTTTGCTTCGGCGCATTTTCCCTCCTGGTATTTGGACCGTTGGGAGCAACCCTGATGGTTTGGAGTCGGACAAGCATTGGAACTGACAATCTGACAACGGTTGTTAGGGAAGTATACTTGGGGATTGCCATTGAGAAATAGTGATTGTGACATCATTTCCATTCATGTCCATTGTCCCAATAGGGGTATCATTAGCAAGCACAAGGGATATTCGCATATCAATGGACGTGATACGATGGCCCAAGGCATTCTTGATTTGAGGGTCTACATTTTGACACAGGAAAACTGGTAAATTGGAGATGTACATTTGCAGTGTGTCTTACTTACTGTAGTACTTGTGAACATCATTACTACTGCTCAGAAGGAAGTTTACGCTAGAAACCCATATAATATATTGAAGCTTACATATATACTGTAAACCAACCCGTCGGTGTTTTGGAACATCTCTTTGATTCACAAATATATTCATGTGTGTTTTCTTTAAATATTTGAGGGTGACCTGGCATGTTTCTTGCTTTATTCAGTTGATTTTGAGTTGAAAGAAGTCCTCTGCGCTTCTTGCCCACATTCTTGAGAGGATTTCTTCGATTCTGAAACTGGAGCAGGGCTTCCCTGGGAAGAACGAGAAGGTGGGCCAGTGGGCCCCAAAACTCGTGGCCTCGCTTGCCTATAAACAATGGATAGTCACATGCGGGTTGTTTGTTTATCGTTGCTTCGCTTGATAAACATATTTGTATTTTGTGATATGTTCTTTCATATCTGGCATATACTTTGCCATATTTCAATAACCATGGACCATGGAGTGTTGTTTCCTCTTGGGGAAAAAAACATCAATAGATCATCGACTGTCGAGGCCCTGGACAAAATGCTTCACTTCCGACGGTGAATGGATGTGGGAGAACGATCCAAGAATGCCCGAACTCTTTGGCGTGAACATATTGTAATCTATCCAGGTGTAATCAGGTGTATGTGATAATGATTTGAAATATGTATAATTGATTATATATATAATATATATTATATTGTATTATTGCTCATGTTGGGTTTAATTTTCAGATGGCACCCAGAAGTGTTGGCTCTGGACTATGGGATACAGTAGACTCGAAGGTTTCTCCGGCCCCTGCAGTTTTTCAAATCTCAAGTCTCGTTTCATTTATGTGCGATGTTTAAACTTTAAACCATGATCATTACTAAATCAAGAAATATATTATATATACATACCTGTACCCTCTGGTATTTTTTTCTATAGAAGATGGCCTTAAATTTAGAGATGATTTGCCTATCAATAACATCGATTTTTTCCCATCGGTGATCTTCGATATTTCCCATCATTGCCACCATCAAATGGCGGCCTCCATCAGGGGGTGGATACCATGCAAGCTTCGGACCAACCTTTATCCCAAAGTCTGGCTACAAGGTGTGCAGCTGTAGAAATGTGTCGATGAAAAGTATGTAATATATGATATAACTGATATAACATAATAAAATATTATATACATTAATATATATATAATGTATATAAATATAATGTATGTATAGATGGTATACTAAGACACATGAACCTCACAATGTTGATTTTGTTTTAGGGGTTGAGACACCATAGAAGGACTGATGGCTGGTCCAAGATTGGTTGGATTGATTTCCACAAAGCATACTTGCAGAGAATGGGAGTTAGTCAGCAATTTTTTGTCGCTGATTGAACCTCGACTCCTTACGACCAGGTTCTATGAACAAGTGCGAATCGCCGTTTACATTGGGCTACTTACTCTCTAAATTGGATCATTTCAACATGAAGCTGACCCCACCATTTGCATGAAGCGAGATTTTGGATGATGTTGGTTCATTCCCAAAGTAGTTGGCAACATTTCATACTGGTTGGTGGTTTGGACCATTTTTATTTTTCCATATATTGGGAATAATAATCATCCCAACTCATGAACTCATATTTTTCAGAGGGGTTGTTTTACCACCAACCAGCATAGCATTTTCGAAAATTGCTGAGCCTGTCAATTCATTGAGGACTTTAAGCGACAGTACACCGAAAATTGGACCAACTGACCAACCTCTGCAGTTCAATGAGCTGTCTCAGTCTTGGCCTTACTCCCTTCAGCAAACCGGGGAAGCTCCAAAGCATGGCCAGGTGGACAAAAGCAAGGCATTCACGGAGCTACCAAGTGCGTTGGACTCCATTCGATCCTCGGCACAAATATCAAGCCACACCACACAAGGAAAGCCCACGCCACTCATACCAAGCCACTGATACCAAGCCACTGACGCGGCATAGTTCATGTTGCTTCAGACTTCTGGGGTAATGGTTTATTAATTAGGGGGGGTACTCCTCCAATAGTCATAATCTGATACTTAAATGGTACCCTCCCAATTAAACAGCCTAGGCTAGGGGTTTATTAATCCAGGGTTGACATTACGGCTGGCTCAGAAACGGATAATTCATACCCCAGGCACCGTTCTATAATTCTCATTGCTGGCTGAATCCTCACCTTTATCCTGATTGTTACCATTGCCAAATGCTGGTGATATCCTCATAGCTGTCCCTCTCTTCCCAATGTTTCTCTGTTCTTGATTTTTTAGAAAAAAAACGAACATATATCATCATATATCAGACATATCAATTTTCATCAATTGTTTATATCTAGATTTTCTGTGTGTACTTTCCTTTGTTCCATCATCTTTTCCAAGCACCACGGGATTTCGAAAAACTTCCGTGGTGGTGAGGCTCCCGCCTTCAGCGCCTCCTTCGCTTCGACGATTTCGACGCCGACACCGTTAACGACGCCGGCGTGGCCGAGAGCCTGCGGCGCTACGCCATGAGCGCCGCGACGCGCGGCGGGCGCCAGGGAGCGCTGAGCCAGGCCTTTGTGCAACGCTATGAGTTGGATGGGGATGAGATGACCTGCAACAGGACATGGGGATGGGGATGGTTGAGGTTAAGAGTATGGTAACTAATATGTTTATAAAATAGATGTGGGTTATGATGTGGATATAGATGCATGTATCATATAGATGCTATATATAAGTTATATATATATTTATATATATATATATATATTATAGTTTCTGATGATTCTATGTTTATAGTCCATATGAACCCAGTTGAATAATCATCATCATTAGATTCTATCTGACTGGTTGGTGGTTTGGAACATGTTTTTTTTTCCCATGATTTTCCATATATTGGGAGTAGTAGCCCCAACTGACTTTCATATTTTTCAGAGGGGTAGGTATACCACCAACCAGCGGATGAGTTGAGAAAAATCAGTGGTGATGAATTTTTGATCCATCGCCCAGCGGATCTCACCGGGAGGGGTGAAAATTCCGAATCGGGGGATCCAACATTTCAATATTTCATTCGGTTGGTGTTTTAATATGGTTTAATGGTGATTAATGGTGAGTAATCGTGGTGATTAATGATAAATTATCTGGTTGGTGGTTTGGAATATGGTGGTTAATAGTGATGGTTAATAGTGGTTATAGGCTATAAACCAGCAACAATGGGAATATGATGGTGATCTGGTTGGTGGTTTGGAACATGACTTTTTTGACTTTCCATATATTGGGAATAATGATCCCAATTGACTAATACTTTTCAGAGGGGTTGAAACCACCAACCAGTCATGGATAGGATATGATAGGCATTGGCAATAAAATGATGATATAAGCACAACTTTACCAATGACATGACAATGATATAAAATTATGATATGATATTTCCAATGACATTTCAACACTGAAAATCATGATAGGATATTGATAGGATATGATAGGCATTGGTCTTTGTTGGGTTCCAACACTTGAAGCAAAATGATAGGACTGTTCATCAGACCAAAAAAACATAAGGCTCGTGATTTGTCATTTGCCACCCAGTACACTGGTACACTGCTGCAGGAAACAGGCACTTGGGATGCATTTCGACTCTCGCAATGCCAATGCGGAGGTGGTCATTGGCTTGAGTCTGGGAGAGGAACCAGCAGGGGCTGTGGGTTTGAGGTTTTTTCAGTGGATGCATTCGATGCCACCTTGGTGCCAAGCTGGTTGGGTGTTTGAATGGAAATTGAGGAAACTTTGATATGGCAGTGTGTCAAAACCTTGTACCCCTGGTGAACATCAAAATAGCTGGTAGCATGTTCATCCCCCTAAAAATTGTATTAATAGGTATTGATCCATCCCCATATGTCTCCAATGTTCCTCATGGCTTTCCTACACTCCGATTGGAGCAGGAAAATCAACCCTGCGGAGGTGAACCAGGATGGCAAGCTTAAAAGACCATTGTGGATCTTCGTGGGGGTACACACTTGGATCGTGCTTGTGAAACATTGCGATCCTTATTGGATTCCAGGCTGATCCAGGCCGATCGGCCCCTACTACCGAAGCCTGGCGAGGACCAAGGGCACATCTTCTTCTCGCGCTCGGGTCCGCACAAGGGCCAGCCCTTTCCCCTCTCCTTGGCCAAGGCGGCACGGGATGGGTTGACCCGGATCTGGATGAGTTTGAGCTTTATATTTGTCATTGTCCGATTTTCCATCCCATCCTGGGATTGGCAATACCATATAGTTACCAGTCTACCTGATTGAAGTGTGTTCATCTCTTCAAGATTGTTGATTCTAAGCTATAGGAACTATCGTTCTCAGCAAGATTGCTGGTCATAAGATGGTATAATACAAGATTTCATAAGTTATACATGCCCCATTTGTTGTACCCACTATTTTTTACCCCATCTCTGTTTCTTGTCCACATCCCGTTCCCAACAATCCATTTTTACCTATATGTGATATAGGGTCTTAGAACCCCCTAGTTGACATTATATACTTGGCTATGAGTCAAAACCCTAAGACCCCGACAGTACCCTAAGTCATAACTGGTGAATGGATGTTGATTCCTCCAGTCATATGATAATAATGGGTTTTGACCCAGCCCCAGTTCACCAAGTTAATCTAACCAACTTGGCACCACTTCTATAGCTATCCTTTAGGGCCCCACATCAATAACGTGTTGTGTAACAGTGACCCTATGGTAATTTGCTAGCTATGGAAGCCATGGCCCATTTAGTTCGATGGTTCACTTATGAATTTCATGGTGATTGTCCAATTCGCAACATGTTCAATTGTCGGTAAATCACCATTTCCATAGTAAATTATAAGTACATCACCAATATTTATGTTATTTTACGTTCAAGTATGGGTAAATTACCATAGGTAAATCGTCTATGTTCATCGATTTCCATGGTAATTCACCATTACCCTCTGGTAATTTAACATAGCTATGGAAAATTGCCATTTATAGTGAGTTTTCCCATTAAAAATGGTGATTTTCTATAGCTACGTTAGTTTACCAGAGGGTATCCATCCCCAGAGGCTTCACCACACCCCGAGGCATTGGAAGAGCGAGGCGATGGCATTTTGGTGGAGCTTCCGCGGCGAGCCTTGTGCGCCCTGTGGAGGGAGCCCTTTTTCTGTCGATGCCTTTAAAAGGCTCCAAAATCACAATCTGCCAATGATGTTTATGGATGTTTATGGATGTTTATATATATATATATATGTTTTTTTTTTACTATAGACTATAGTGATAAACATATATATATATGTTCTTTATGGATGTTTATATATATGTTCTTTTTTTACTATAGACTATAGTGATAAACATATATATATATATATGTTCTTTATGGATGTTTATATATATGTTCTTTTTTGAATCTGTTTGGAAGTTTGAGGCTTGCTAGAACTGGCTATAACTACTGTGGGGGTCAAAATATGGTTGAATTTAGTTCATGTGAATGTCCCCATGTTTCTTCAACCATGTTGAAACCATCATAGCAAATTGAACACTTTCATGGGTACGAACCTCAGTCCCAACCAGAAGTGGCCGTGGCTCTGAAGCCCTTTGACGTGAGGAATCCCTACACAAATGAAGTGTTCCTTTGGGGAAACCACATATTTCCGGTCCTTTGGGGGGTTCCAGGTAAGCATTGAAGTGTTCGATTTCCTATTTGGGTCTAAAAATGCTTCTCCAGCGGCAAAAACGCTCTCCCCACATGGGCCGGTATGGGCCATTTGGGTATGGATCAAGACCCTCCAATTGGGAACTTACTAGTAGGAAGAACCACACACTTTTGCATTGTAGGTTTTTCATGTTTGAACCATGCTAACTTAGGTTTATCATCATATGTCTTTAACTTTTGTTTGAACCATCTGGAGGAGTCTTCAACTAGCTTGTTCAGGGTCCTCATGCGGGACCATTGGGAAATGCCCAGATGTCAATTTCAGCCATCCCACCCCCCATTTTCCATGGTAAAAACCCGGACCATCACGTTCTTTGCCATTGATTTTCTGGTTGGTGGTTTGGAACATGACAGGATTATTTTTTCCATTCAGTTGGGAATGTCATCATCCCAACTGACGAACTCCATGATTTTTCAGAGGGGTTGTTTTACCACCAACCAGTTTTATAACTTTGTAAACACCTTGCCCAGCTGAGTACAGTATCAAAAAGCCCAGTTGGTTGATGTCAGGATTGCACTGGCCAATGGAGGATTTATCAGCGATGATCTTGGAATCCTCAACAGAACCAAGCAGGGAATGATCCAATAGGTTTCTCAGCTGGTTATATCATTATATTGTCCATAGATTTTCCATGCTATTGTCCATAAAAATATAATGATCCATGTAACATTGGCATATTCCATATATGTTGGTTATATGATTTCTTGGAATATTCCATGTTATTGTCCATTAAAGATCTCAATGATTTGCCATCCCACTATCTCCATAGAAGTGTCATGTTCCAACCCATAGGATCCATGTATGCCATATATGGTAACATTTACCATCAATATACCCCAAATGTTAGCAAATATATCATACATGGATCCTATGGACAATACTTCCCAGGTACATGTTCTACGGCTTCGCCCGCTACCACCTGCGCCACGGCGTCCCCTGGCACCACGACGCCGCGCGCGGCGGCTACCGCCGCGTCACCGTGACGCTGCGCAGCGTGCCGCGGCCGATGCCGACCGCGGCGCCGGCGGCGAAGCGGCGGCGGAAGGACGGGGAGGATGCGAAGCAGCGGCGGTTGATGGAGATGTGGCTTGATCTCTGGGATCTTCATGGGGACATGGGAATATAGTTGGGATTACCCTCTGGTTATTTGTTACATAGCCATGGAAGCCATGGCCCATAGAAATATGTAGATGATTTTCCCAGCTAGAAACCCTCTGGTTATTTGTTACATAGCCATGGTATAGATGGCCCATAGAAATAGATGATTTTCCCAGCGAACGAAACCTCCATTTATGGTTGGGATTTTCCATGGCTATGTTAAATAACCAGAGGGTACTTGGGATATTATGGGAAGTTGGTTGAACTATAAAATTTTATATAGGTTATAGTGTTGGGGTTTATAGTGAGTAGAGATTGATATCGAACTAGTGAACTGGGGGGTCTCAAAGCAAATTACAACTGGTAGGGGCGGCACTACATTGCGCACCTTCAGTGTAGAAGGTGTGTCAATTCAATATAATTCAATATGGAAAATCATGAAGAATTGGATTAAAATGGGATACCCTATTTTCAGACAAACCCATATGAAGGTACATCTTGTCAGGTTGGATTGTCCGCTGGAGGGTTACTAATCTCCGATCTGGGTAGATCCATTGCGACTGGGTAAAAACCATTTGTTGGGAGTGCTATGGATTGTTGCGATGCCTCTCGGAATTCTTCTGATTTACTGTCCCATAGGATCCATGCATGGTATATTTGCTAACATTTGGGGTATATTGATGGTAAATGTTACCATATATGGCATCATGGATCCTATGGGTGTGCTGACTGAGCCCATCAAGACATGCTGGAAATTCTGCGAATGTCAGCTAGTCCATCCGAGTCCATCCGTTTGCCATGGAAATTCCCGGCAAATTCATTTCGCAACAGACAACATCTGTTTGGTGGTTAATGATTATCAATGGTGATATATCTGGTTAGTGGTTTTTTATAGTGTTTAAAGATGGTATAAATCAACAACAATGGGAATATGATGGTTATAGCTGTTTGGCGGTTTGAAACATGATTTTTAAATTCCATTTCATATATGGGATAATCCCAACCCCATTGACGAACTCATATGTTTCAAGATGGTTAAGTCACCACCAACCAGGTTATTATTAACCATCATTAACCATATGATAACCATCATCATTAACAATTATTAACAGTATATTAACCATATATTTATCGTTTTCCAATTTTGATCTCTCCATAGGTCAACAGAAATGTGGCCATGGTCCCAGGCTCCAATCCTTCGCCCAACCCTTGGAAAAAGCGGCTCCACTGATCGACCTCACTGACTGACCGGAAAAAGTGGCGGATCGTCCTCTGGTGATTTTTGTACCTTTTGAGCCATGAACAACGGGGGATTTGATATATTATATATATATATAGTAAACAGCTGGCACATAGAATATTAAAAATAAATAGGTGCCACTAAGAATATGGAAAATACATTGCAAAACCTATTCCTGGAATGCCATCCACATAGAATATTTATCCACATAGAATATGGGGGTATATATATATAATTATATATATGTATACATACCTTATCAAAATCTCAAGACTCTCCAAACAAATCGTTGATCAGTGAAATCTAAAGTAAACAGCGCGGACATCGCCATGCAACATGATGGTTTGATTCATGATCAACTCAGCACATCTTTACAAGGTTTATATTCTATGTGCATCGTCTGTGGATATGCACTTAGAATATTGTTTTCACCCAGGAAAAATCATGTAACTAATAGACCTATTCGAAAAAAAAACAATGATTGATATTCTAGGTGCTAGCCGGTTACTATATATATATATATATAATGAAAATATGATATTTATCCATGAACATGTATAGGAATTATTGTTGATTTATTGGTGTTTCTTGCTGTTAATTGATGTCCACCACCAAATCTGAATGGAGATTTCACCACCAAATGAGTATCGTTCGATGTATTTAGGGGAATTTCACCAATTGGGAATACGAATGACCAATGATAGCTGGAAGATAGCCTGTTGGTGGTTTGAAGAAAAATATGATATATCCAAACAATGAAAAATGTTGTTGCTACGGGTTGAAACCACCAAGCAGTATTGTAAAACATCCTAACCAAAAGGTTGGGATCATGTTACATTCTCCCAGCTGTTCAGGTATACGGACATGCCCCAATAATAATCATCCCCCAAATCAGGGATGGTTAGGAACATGAACATACCGACCTGCAGTAGGTTTGTTGGGTATCTAAGATCGGCGGTGTAACATGGTGTAACCATCTTCAGGAAAAGTTGAAATCTTTCACAGGTACCCCCTCCATGTACAAGTGACCATTGATGGTTTGCTTATGTCCAAGAGCATTTTTTTAATCACCAGCTCGGCCCTGTTTGTTGCGGTTGGAAGTTGTTTGTTGCGGTTGGCAGGGTGAAAGCGAAGTTTGAGCAGCTCCACGCTGCAAAGGTCTCAAGAAGTACTTGGATGAGAAGGAAATCTTCCGCATGGATCACTACTTGGCCAAGACGCTGGTGCGCCTTTCCGCGCGAGTTGGGTGAGATCCCCGAAAGCACGGGATATTCCCAATGGCAAAATCCAAGAACCAGATACCCGGCCTGGTAAACATACAAAAAGCGATGGAACATGGCCATAGAAATAGTGAGTTTTCCCATGAAAATGTGTGATTTTCCATAGTTATGTGGCTGTTTACCAGAGGGTAAGCCAACAATAGTATATGTGGTAAAACCGTGTAAACGCCAATAACAGAATGGAATAATGTGGTGAACTTAACTCCTAAACCATCCCCAATATACATGCCCCCTTTTGTTGACTAGTCCTGGCAAAAGCCCACAAGTCTTGATTTTCAATATTCATACCTAGCTGAACATGAAATTACGGAATAGCTATGTCAAATCTAGACACATTCTGGAGCACCATACAACAGTTCACACCTTTGCTTTACAGGGGTTTCTTGAGTTTTTTGGGGGATCCCAAGTCGTCACCATGGTTGTTACCCTCTGGTAAACTAACGTAACTATGGAAAATCACCATTTTCAATGGGTAAATCCACTATAAATGGCCATTTTCAATAGCTATGTTAAATTACCAGAGGGTACCTGTACTAAATTACTAGTCGTCATGGTCCTCCATGACGACTGGATGAGGTATACGGTACCCCCATCCCCCCATGGCTGCCATGGTTTCACCTTCTCCCCATCCGACCGATCCCAGCGATCCCCTCTGGGACGTCCTCAGGTAAACCATGAAACTGGTGGTTAATGGTGATTACACCCTGGTAAATTAACATAGACCCTGAAAATCACCAATTTTTAATGGAACCTAGTCTTCCAACCCCTATCTGCCAGGGCCTATGTTAATTTACCAGAGGGTAAATGGTGGTTAATGGTGATTATAAGCCACAAACCAGATAGTTGACACAAGTATGTTTCGATCCTCAAGTCTGATATTATTGGTATCAATCTGTTTTATAATTAGAATATCTTGATTTAACATAGCCATGGAAAATCACCATGAACATAATAGCTCCATTATCTACAAAATGGGTGTATCCAGATTTATAGTTGATTATACCCAGTATATATATAATGTAATATGATATGATTTATATATAATATGTATAATCTAATACATATATATATATATACATATATATATATATATATACCTACTGCATCTCATACCTACTTTTTTTGGGGTGGAAATCTGAAAACCTGTTTTTTTCTAACATTATAAAAAAACCGTTTTTTTTTTAATAAAAACATGTTTTTTTTTTATAAAACCCTCAAATCTATCAGTTTTTCAGACTTCCACTTGAAGATTTGTTGCCCCATATATTGATTATGTTGGATATCTTAAAGAACATGTAACTACTAAGCCCATTAAACATCTATCGAAACCCTCGGCTGAGGGGTGGAGCTGGTGGATGTGATACCACTACCGCTATCTGAACTGCAGTTGATGGCCCGATGCCATATGTGGAACTGGTCTTAATTTGATGGGCCATAAGTTGAATGACAAGAACAACAATGCGGGATTGTAAGTCTATTTATATATTATATATTAAGATCTTTCAACAATGACAAGCCAAAGGTAATACGAGTAATCTGTTCTATCACTAGGAAACAATACAAGACATGTCTTTTTATATACCACCAATTTAGGAAGTACTGTATGGCTTGGTTCAGCCTTAATGTTTCCAACCTTTAGATCCCTGAGCCCGACGCACCGTGTTGCCATGCTGGACTGGAAGATGTCTGGCCTTTGTGGTGCTACTTTCTGTGCAGAGACTTCATCTTTCCAGCCCAGCCTGGGACCCCAGTTCTGCTTGGCCCATTTTTTATCCGATGGTGGGCCCAATCTGGTTCGTTGGCAATCTTGCTGCTCCACAAAACCTTGGTTTGGGGAGCGGTGTTTCTCCTCACGATTTTTGGTGATAGCTGACCCCATGGTTTTTTGATGGTGCAACAACCTAAGAAAGGACCATTTTATTTCAAGGAGCACTGTAGTATTGTTCCCCACCTGCCAGGTGAGGGTTGTTAGATTTTATCAGAGTTGTTCTTCTCCTCTTCCTCCTCCTTCCTCCTCCTTCTCCTCCTTCTCCTCCTCCGCGTCCTCCTCCTCTTCTACCACCTCTGCCTCCACTTCCACGTCCACTGTTGCCTTGCCAACTCTTGGCCAACCTCTTCGCCTTCTTCGGACCTCAGTGCGCACTGCTGGACCTCAACCTGGGACCTTCCTAGCTCAGTGCGCACCGCTGGACCTCAACCTGGGACCTTCCTAGCTCAGTGCGCACCGCTGGACCTCAACCTGGGACCTGCCGAGCTCAGTGCGCACCGCTGGACCTCAACCTGGGGCCTTCCGAGTTCAGTGCGCACCGCTGGACCTCAAAAGCCAGATAGAATGCCAGAAGATATGCCAGATAGAATGTCAGATAGAATGCGAGAAGATATGCCAGATAAAATGCCATAAGATTTGCCAGATGATATGCCAGATAGAATGTTAGAAGATATGCCAGATAGAATGCCAGAAGGTATGCCAGATAGAATGCCAGATAAAATGTAAGATAGAACGCCAGAAGATATGCCAAATAAAGTGCCAGAATGTTTGCCAGATAGAATGCCAGAAGATTTGAGCAGATAATATGCCAGATAGAATGCCAGAAGATATGCCAGATAGAATGCCAGAAGATATGTCAGATAGAATGCCAGAAGATTTGCCAGTAACAAAATGTATAAATGCCATGGTGGGGATCACACGAAGTAAAGTATTTTTTTTACATCCTCCATGGTCTTGGCCAATACTTTGTTGCAAGACTTTTGACAAAATATGTTGTGTTTTTGTCAGCAGTGTTGGCTCTTGCTGGCTGCGCTTGGTGTGTGGCCTTTGCCTACGTCATGAACGTGACTGGCTTAGCAGCCGTGTGGGAGGCCGATGAGTCTCTGCGTGAGAGACTTCGCAAGGACCGCAAGGTCTGCATTCATCCAATGTCGCAGCGCTGGTGTGAACCTTCGAGGGTCAACGCTGTGAACAACAGCATTGTCTTGCTTCCGGCTTTGCGTCGCCTGAGGGAGACAGACGAGTGGAAGCTCCCTTACCTGGAGCAGCTCCAGGTGGAGATTGGCCTCCTTTTCGAAAAGGTTTCCGTGCCAGTTGATGACAAGACAGTGTACACATCGTCTGTCGAGGTCAAAAAGCTTCTGGGTTTCGTGAAGCGACGTGCCAAGCGGCATGAAGTGACGAAGGACTGGGGACTACATGTTGTTGACAAGTAATATCAAATAATACATGGCCAAGACCAAGGAAAACATTTTTGAAGACTAGTGTCTACAGCAAATGCTGTTTCATTCTGACTTTGGCCGTGGACAGTTTGAGTGTTCATCACTGACTAAAACCAACATCGTTGTATATCTTAAGTAACCATACTGAAGAAAATCATGTGCATACTCATCCCTTTCAACAGATTATAAGCATACTCTAGGACCCAAGGGTTGTTTATTCCAAAGTTCAGGGATAAGAAACCATCCAGGCCAAAACCTAAATGCAAACGTGAGGACACCAAGTTCCATGAGCTTCTTCTTGCACTGGACCCCAGCTTGAAGGACCAGGGATTTGTTTGGGCTACACATTGCATAAACTTTTGGGATTACTTGGGAATACACACAATTATTGTAAACCAAGTCAAGGATTTAAGGATGGATTAGATACAAATACAGTTCTTAACCATTGGAGGACGTCATTGATGCCTACATGACCGGGTGCACTGACGGAGATGGTCCCGATGATGACTTTGAAGATGAGGACGCAAAGACCAAAGAGGACTATGAAAAGTTCAAGCTTTGGCTGGACCAACAAGCCGATGGTGATGATCAAACGTATTCAGCCCCTGCTCCCACACGTGAGGTCAGGCGACCCGTGCCAGAGGTTCGCTACATCTGCAACACTTGCAAGAAGGATGTCAATTCGTGTGACTAGTCTGAACACCTGTCTTGTTCGAAATGCCCCGGTGTAAATATTATTAGATCTAAATTTCTAAAGGATAATCAATACTTTAAGGGGGTTGGGAAGGCAGATTGGGATTATGGGTTTGTTGTGTGATTGTGGTGATATGGCTATGCCAAGTGTGCACTATATTTATATATGTAGTATCGACCACATAGAAAATTTATATAATACTGTAATTAACATATAAAACCATATCATATCACTTCATACTATCATACATGCCCACGATTCGAAATCACACCGGTGAATTTTGTTGGATGGAAATTTCCATTGGAGTCCCAATCGCATGATATACCCTGAGCCCCTTGCTCACGTCCGGCCATCTCTTGTCCAAAGAGGCAATTGCAGAGCCGCGCTGGAGAAGCTCAAGAAGGCCCTTGCAGAGAAGAAAGCGCAAGTGACGCTCCTCGGCTGTTTGGGTTTGAGGCGACAGGTATTTCCGCAGAATGTACCTTCGGGATGAAATTTAATTTATATAACATTTGTGAGGGGTAATCATTTGGGATTAACCGCACATATTTTTCCAGGAGTTCAATGGGATGGTACTGGGCCTAAGTCATTGTTTATGTTCAATGCCTCAAAGCTTAGGATTTCTTCGGGCGCAGCATCGCCATCATCTTCTCATCCGTTATCATCCACTCCAGCTGTTCCCACAGTTAAACCAGGGGAAAAGCAGCCAGATCGTCGTCCAGCAGTCCCGAGCAGAGGTTTGGTCCACATCCAAAATCTGATGACCCTTTCGTAGAACTTTTTACCATCAATCTTTGTTCAGGCCAGAGCCTGGTACTTGTCAAAACGGCATTCTTTTTACCACATTGCCACAGGTGGAAGCTTTGAGGACAACCTTGAGACCCAGCCGTTCCAACCTGCCTTTGTCCCTGAGCAGTCAGATTCCCATCCCCGAGAAGAGTTCATGCTGGCAGAAGTGCCTGCCACCCCTGATGAGGATCATAGCACCAAGCCGGGTGATTCCAAAACACAGTCGGGACGTCCTTTGGAGGTAGGATGTTGTTGCCAAATGTTTTTCAAAGTCAAGTCTAGCTGGCTCCTTATGGCTCGATAAGTTCCAACACACATCCTGTTACAAAATGGCAACATTTCTTTCAAGGCTCGAACGAACCAATTCAAAAGAAATTATCGCAATGGGTTGCATGTTTTGACATAATTCCTCTTGATAAAAGAATCATCTCCATATTCCTTTCTCCTCTTGTTCTGGCAGGTTTTGACTCGACGACAGCAACTGGCGGCCAAGAAGAATGGCAAGAACCAGGAGGCTGCCGAGGGCAATGGTGAGGGTGAGGCTGAGGGTGATCATGGTGATGATGATCAGAATGGGCAACCTGTGATGAAGAAGCCGGCAGCTAGGGCAAAAGCTGCCGGCAAAGCAAAGGCAGCAGCCAAGAAACAAGTTCAGACTGAGAAGGCCACCGATGCAGAACCAAAGGCAAAGTCAGCAGCGAAGAGGAAAGCCAGGAAGAGCAAGGCAGCCGAAGAGCAACATGAGCCAGAGCAGGAAGAGTCTGAGGTGCCTGAGGGCGATCAGAATTTGGACTCTACCAAGCGCAGGTTGTTCAAGGATGGAGATCAAGACCCCCCAGCGCCTGCAGAGGAAGCTGTTGGAGCTGACCCACCTCGCAAGCGTCGCAAAAGGCGCACTCCTGCTGCTGATGCGGCTGACCCTTCTGGTCAATCCAAAAAGTCACCCGAGGCCAAGGTGAAAGCCAAAGCGGCTCCCCGCCGCCGGAAGGGAGCCGATGGCGAAGATCAGAAGTGTGAGGATGGTCAGGAAGCACAGCCCAAGAGGAGAGCAAGGAAGTCCAGGCAGCAAAGAGAGGCTGAGGAGGCGGTTTTGGCCAGCCGTATGAACATGGAGGATGACGTGATGAAGGGTGTGGTTCTGCAAGTCCTGCGTGAGGTCAAGACCATGACCGTGGACGAGCTCAAGGACCATTTGTCCAGCAAGAAGGACAGCTTGGCTGGGAAGAATTCCACCTTGAACGTGTACTGGTCCAGGACCAATTCCCGATGCAAATACTTGTTGGACCCTGCCACACCGGACACGGCCAACTTCTACTTCACCTCAGGGACTTGGAATACCCGAATGGCAGCAGCCTTCATTGGGTCGTGGCTGATGGTTACTCAGCGATGTTTGTTTTTTTTCTCAGAGAAATCAACTACACCACCGCACTTTTCAAGAATACACTATATACAAGCACATATTTGGACCATTTTTTGCGGTCTTCACATGTCACTGGAACTTACCATGCTTTCTGAGGCTTGTTGGATGGACACCAAGGATGAGGCTGTCTTATCCCAGTGGGAAGATCCGACTTCAGAGTTTGCAGTGGAGGAAGCCAAGATCAAGTTCAACGCAAACCGTGCCATCCAAGAGTTCGGTCGCAAGTGAGAGCCTTGAGCCTTTTGCAACATGGCCTGAACGCCTTAGGGTTTGCACTAGTTGATGTTCCCATCAGTAGATGTGCTGGTAACCGGTCCAACCTTCCACCACTGGTAGCAAAGTTTTTTCAGGAATCATAATATTGAAGAAACCTGTGTTACTAAATGACTAATAATTATAAAGGTCCCAAGCCTACTGTATTCCAAATAATTCTCCATGTTCCTTTCCATATTTAGAGCTGGCCATGTCGATGTGCAGACAGGCGTTCTGACGTCAAATGGTTTTTCGAAAACCTTCAAAAGTTTTGATCACATTAGTTTGGGAAAGCAGCCTATGCCCACAGCGCTTGAGAACCTGCTGTGGGGTGCTGTCATATGTCTCCTTGGGTTTGCATCATGTTGACGAACATGATTACGCTAAGTTGCTTGTGGGGTGACCCTCATTGGCGCGCGAGAGAAAAAAGAATCAACTTGATCATCTAATGATGGTAGTGTTTAATGGTTTCAATCCACAAACACAAGGTCAGAGGTTTCAAGGTAGAACCCACAAAGGATTTATATTATATGGAAAGAATGTGAAGGTGCAACCGTTTTCAATGCCTCTGGAAGCCAAACAAAACGAAAGGTTAGTTCTAGGAATCATGGACTAAACACCATTTATGTAATTTCTCAGTTGGGTATATTCACAACACAATTTACTGGTTTTGATTCAAAATGTGAACCTACCTGTTTTTTCAAATTTACCCTCCTGACATCCCCTCATTGCATCGTAGCCTCCACGCTTTCCAAGGTCGCTGGAAGGTGGTCTATGAGAGCTCGCCTCAAATGCAAGAAGTGGGCCCTCAAGCAGGGTCTTGACCATGAACCCCGAACAGCTGACATGTTTGCGGCTACTTTGTGGGAAGTGAGCTGGCATACATGTAGCTGGAAACAGTTCACAAATTTTATTTGAAAACTGTTGCTGAAGGTTTCCAATGGGTTGGTATTCTTAGATGGTTTTCTTGTGGTGATCATCCAAGTAAGAATTTGGTATTTACACCGAAAGGTGACCACACATAATCTCGATTTGGACTAGAATCACTTGATCAAAGGATTCAAATCTTGATTCTCGCGATTGATTCTTGGGGTGTTTGCCATGGGTTTGTGGGGAAGCAGCGCAATAGTGCCATTCTGACAGTATGCTACCTTTTCTGGCCCAAAAAATATAGATACCGACTGCGGGTAGCTAGCAACCAGGACCAGGAACATTGCCAGTGTCAACATATGTGTTTCAATGAATCCATCCTATAAACAATTCCTATCAAGATCAAAGTGTACCTGTTGTTCTACCAATCGATTTACTAGGGTTGATACCCTTGAAAACACAAGTGCCTGTCTCAACCCAAAGCACAGTGCTAGCCCCTTGGTCCGTGGGAAAAAGATTTTCCCTTGGGAGCGACCTGCTGCCTAATGGCTCGTTCCAAGAAGTTTGTGGACTCACTGGTGTATATGCTCAATGCCCTTCAGGTGCCAAAGGCTCCCAAGCATGCATTGGACAAATCTCTTCATATCACGAATTAAGTTTCCATTGAGTACCAACCACAGTTTATTTGAATTTCAGTTTCGATTCGAACCATGAAATGGTACAAAAATTGCAGTGCCTTTAGAGGTGTATGTGCCAACTTCCTTTCAACCACTGCTACAACGACCCTTCCCAGCTAAGGTAATGATCTTTGCTGTCCTCTTGACAATTTGGACAGAACCGGCGACGCTATCCAATGCTGGTTGTGCTATGCAGGACTGTTCTTGCATTTAAGGGCCGGGGCATAAATATCAGACCAGTAACACCCAACATATTTGGAAACACTTTTAGTCATCAAGGTTTAAAAACTTGCGCCAGGACCCCCCTTCATTCCAGTGGGTGGAGTTTTTTGCTGGTAAGGCTGAGGCTACACGTATGTTCCGTGAAAGCCACTTTCGAACTGGGAAACTTGACATCACCTACATGCGTCCTGGAAAGTCTGGTTTCAACCCCATGGACCTGTTGACTGATTCAGGTTTTGCGTTTCTGGGGAGACAATAAACATATTTTGAGTAGTTCATTTCAAGAAGTTTCATGTATCCCGAACAATTTTATTGGCATATGTCATCAAGAATTCAATTCTTTTCAACCAAAGTTACCATGTCCCAGGTTAGCCATTGAAACGGTTCTACTGGGAGATCATGAGAATGGCTGGGTGTGTCTCTTCGGTTTGAAGTGCAGTTCATGGACAACAATGAATTGCGGAGCATCGGGCCGAACACCACGCACTGCAATTGGTAACCTTGCCTATCAAAGTGTGGTGGAAGGCAATTTACTGGCAAGTCGGAACTTTGGTGGTCTATATTGTATGTACTGTGTTGGTTAACATTTTTTTGCAAACTTGGGTCATAATTTGGGGGCATTTTACCTTGACCAAATCAAATTTCAACAGCTAAGGGTAATGTTGCTGATATTACTTGTGGTTGCCTTAAATGGCACCATAATTCTGGAACAGCCAGCCAACTCTTTGTTGGAATATTACCCTCGGTTCCGGGACATGATCATGATGCTCAACAATCTGGGGGGACCTCTGACAGTGCCTGCGCCCATCAGCCAAGTAACGATTTCGATATTTCCCACAAACATTGTTCTGCAAAGACTCCTTGGACATGGTAGTTGGACGTCAAAGTGATTGGTCATCAAATTCTTTCGGTCTATTTCAGTACAAATGTCATTGCTTTTGGTGAACATCCTCTAGGTTCACCGTGTTACATGGTGGATGAAGTTATATGATGGACCAACGCCAAAGCGCCATGTGGCCTACTCGAATTCTCCGGCGATCTCCAGGCTAGACTTAGGACGACTACAGGGATGGGCCAAGAAGGTTCGTCAAGATGAGGCTGCCGGGGTTGAGCGAGTGAAGTTGGTAACCAAGTACATTGACAAAGCTGGGAAAAAGCGATACAAAGGATCAGCTTCGCTTCGTTCCAGCGAGTCAGAATCCCAATTGTTAGACTCAACAACTTGAACATACTCCATCATCAAGAATGTAACTAAAGTTGCAGAGTACCTTTAACTGTTAAACATCCATAGATCAACGTGTGTAGCCCATTGCCAAGGCACTATCCAGCAAAGTTTGGGCGAAAGTTGGTCTCCATCTTTTCCGACCTGATCAGTGACAAGCGTGGGCTGCCTACTCTCCCTGACAGGGTTCCGCCCGCCGAGGAAACATTTTCCCAGATGTCTTTTGATGACCATTGGCAGGACGCCCAAGTGGTGGCAGTATGCCACTGGCTACGTGGTGGGAAACAGTTAGACATCCCGCAAAGTTTCAGAGACATTATCCCCAAAAAGTTGTAGATGTTTCGATTCTTCTAACATTGCTGGAACTGGGCCCTGCTGGAAGTCAAGTTGCCCCAAAATCACTCAATACCAAACTTATGCAGAATCTACACATCTTTACCCATAATTTGCCGTAATGCTAAAATACCTGGTTATTCCATTGTTTTACCAGGTTTCCCCCGGTTTCTACCCATAAAATTTTATGGGCAAAACGTAGTGCGTAATTTGCCCGTAATTTCCCGTAATTTACCCATAAAATTTTATGGGTAAAAAACAGAAAAACCTGGTTTTTTTTTCATAGAATTTTAGATGAATTTATATACCTTCCGATGGGATTGTGACCGAAACATTGTCGGTTTTCGAATGTTTTGTCAGTTGTAACATCATCAACAAGCACTTTGCTAAACTAAAATCATGGAATACATGGCAGAGACATGCAGGGACCAGCTTTCCAATTCAAAAGTGCGGCGTTGCACTTGCAGCGCGCTAATTCGATTTCTATTTGATCTGGCATGGGGAAGAAAATAAACACAGAAACCATTACCGACCTTGTCAGGTAGCACGTGATTGATGGCAAACCGTATGACTGTATTGAGAATGTTTTGTGGCATGAATTTAGCTATTCTTCTATCCCAATTGGCCCAGCATTTGGCTGAAATATTTAGAGTGGAAATTCTTTTTGGGTGCCATGGCATTCATGAGAACGGATACAGCACATAGCTTCAAGAGCCGTGCTTGGTCTACCGAAGACTTGAGTGCTGGCCTGGCCCACATCCTCACAGACGGGCGGCTGGAACTGCCTGATGATCTTTCACAGCTGAAGGACCACCGCTTCCTTGGCAATGCTTCAATGTTGGTGGTGGGGTGGTTGTTATTTCTGGTGCACTGAGACCTTTCCCTCCTTATTTGTTTATGCTGTAAAAATGTAGGTTGAACATATGATATATATGTTTGAATGATTTCAGGTCAAATGGCATTTCAATAGCAAATCTTTTGTATTGGCCCTATGCTTGCAGGAAATTGAGCAGACCATCGCCGATTTGGAAGCAAGTCAGGCTGCAGACTGGTTCTTAGTCGTACACAAAATGTAATACCTATCATACCATCAAAGTTGCCAGTTCCATTGAATAAAACAAACGTGGTAAATTCAGATGTTGAAATTGTTTTGATTGTTTCCAACCATGTTCTCCGAGGACATGGCTAAGAGAGAACTGCTGAGTGTTGCACCTTGATCCAATCTATAGGTCTTGACTTGATTTTTCCTATGTTTTTCGAAAACGATTGATCACATCCAGTTTGAAAAAATCCAAGAGTCGATGCTCCTTCACAATTTTCAGCGTCGAGGGTTGTTCTTACAGAGCACATACCTGAGGCGACGCCGCAGGCATTGGAGTCAAGGGCTGGCATTCAAGATGCAGAGACCTTGCCTGCAACTGACAGTCAGTTGGAGGAAAGCAATGGTTTGTCCAAAGCCCCTTCGTCCCCAGTCCATTCCGTTGCTTCTTTGCCTTCGTCTGTCCGTACCCCATCAGATGCAAGCATGGCAGTTTCTTAGCTCATTTGTCTCATGCTTCGATTCTATAGCCACCCATCCTTGTCAGATTTTATGTTCGAATTTCTGGGGCATATCGAACCTCTACAACGTAAACACTGGTTCATTTGAGGCTCAGCAACGGCTGATCCACATGTTCCAAAAGGGCCAAGTGGATGCAGCTACGGCCATGAAGCTGCTGGCTGAGATGTCAAGCAGCCCCCAGTCTGAGGCACCCGAGGTTCCACCGAAAGGTGATTCCAAAAAAAGGGCACGTAGTCCAGAGTCAGAGTTGGACACAGACGAAGACGAGGACATGGACACCCATCCAGGAAATATCTTGGAGACTTTGACGATCTGTTGGTTTACCTCTTTTGTTGAATAAGCTTAGCCCTGGCCCGAGTAGCGATGACTAGTACATAAATCATGTACCTACTGTAACTGTATACATTATGCCCTTGTTGGTCTTAAGGTTTACAACTTTCAGTTTTTGAAAACGATAGCTTTCTATGAGCAACAAGCGACAAACAACCACTCAGGATACCAAGACAAAGAACAAATTGAAAGCCAAGTTGAGACGCTTGTGTGAACTGAAGAAGGGCAACAAGTTGAACGTGCCACAGTGGCTACATGATGCCTGGAAATCGGGCGATCATTTGTCTATGGCCTTGGAGTACCAGAATTCCGGTTTCGACAAGGAATGGTGTTTTTTCTGATATGCCAAGGTGCAAGCATAGATGTTCATGTTGGTGTTAAGCAATCCAGCATGCCACTTCCGGGCTCCAGCTTCCGATGGGGCCACATCCTGACAGGAGCAGTTCATCAAGCGATGTGAGAAAACCACCACGGAAGTCGAGAAGCAATCGAATAAGGTTTGTGTAGGTTGGTACTCAAAGGAGGACATGCGAACCGATTTGAAGTGGAATGCGAACCTTGAATCATTAGCATTCGATTTTTTCCCCACCTGCCAGGTGAGGGTTGTTAGATTTTATCAGAGCTGTTCTTCTCCTCTTCCTCCTCCTCCTTCCTCCTCCTTCCTCCTCCTTCCTCCTCCTTCTCCTCCTTCTCCTCCTCCGCGTCCTCCTCCTCTTCTACCACCTCTGCCTCCACCTCCATGTCCACTGTTGCCTTGCCAACTCTTGGCCAAGCTCTTCGCCAACTTCGGAGCTCAGTGCGCACTGCTGGACCTCAACCTGGGACCTTCCCAGCTCAGTGCGCACCGCTGGACCTCAACCTGGGACCTGCCGAGCTCAGTGCGCAGCGCTAACCTCAACCTGGGGCCTTCCGAGTTCAGTGGGCACCGCTGGACCTCAAAAGCTAGATAGAATGCCAGAAGATATGCCAGATAGAATGTCAGATAGATTGCGAGAAGATATGCCAGATAAAATGCCATAAGATTTGCCAGATGGTATGCCAGAAGATATGCCAGATAGAATGTTAGAAGATATGCCAGATAGAATGCCAGAAGGTATGCCAGATAGAATGCCAGATAAAATGTCAGATAGAATGCCAGAAGATATGCCAGATAAAGTGCCAGAATGTTTGCCAGATAGAATGCCAGAAGATTTGAGTAGATAATATGCCAGAAGATATGCCAGATAGAATGCCAGAAGATATGCCAGATAGAATGCCAGATAGAATGCCAGAAGATATGTCAGATAGAATGCCAGATAAAATGTATAAATGTCATGGTGCGGATCACGCGAAGTAAAGTAATTTGTACAACATTTTACAACAGCCACTGTTCTGACATGGCAGCGTTGCCCTTGTATTTCAAAATTCCCATTCTGAGGAAGAAAATTGAAGGCGCCATCCAGGTGTGCATGCAGGATGAAAAGCACTTGGTCAGGCCCGGTTCTCAAGTGTCTTAGAAACATTGTCGATACCAGTGACCCCCGGCTAGGAACCGCATTCCTTTATTTACTGGCATGGATCACCCCAAATCTATTGCAAGCCTGCATGGGCAGGACTTGCAAGTACGGTGGAGAGCCTGAATATTGGGTCGAGACCCGGGAGACAGGTGAAAAGGGAAGTGAGAAGGAAGAGAAGAAAAAACGAATCGAAATCAGTGAGGACAGCCTTTGTCCATATACATATATTTTGATCATCCTTTTCTAGGAGTATGTATAGTATTCTCAATCCTCAGTCTGATGTTTTAGCCCAGGTAACATGCCCTGCTCATTCACCAAGCCTCAGGACCACTCCAAAGATCCTGTTGGCAATGTTGACACCAGCAAGATCAAGCAGATGGAAGACCGACGCAAAGCTTCGGAGGGCGTAGCTTGTACCAAGAGCTCTGAGGCTCTGCAACAATAGTTACTAATGACAGCAAAGATTTGGAGAGAATCTTCCAACTAGATTCCACAAGTTTTTGTTTGGATAAAAGGGTTGAACAAGTCCTGCCCAGCTGTTACCCACCTTCCAATCCAGTGACTAACATGGGTGCTCTCCAGCGGGCAGGCTATCCGCTGCAAGACGACCCTTTCCAAGTACTGCGACAGCCTACTCTCCAAGTCTGCGAAGATCCGCTCATTGGTGAATGACTTGCAGAAACATTATGATGACCCGCTGGCTGCCAAGTCAATGTCTTAGATGTTTGTTTCTGCAACCACTCCTTTCCTTCTCAAGTGGTAAATATCCCCAATCCCGGTCCTTCATCATAACATGCAAGAGCATAGCCAGCATGCAGCCACCACGCTGCACAATCTTGAGGTCGGTGAAAGCGCTCGAAGGAGATCTGGTTACCTTGGAGAAGCGGTACAATCTGTGCTCGGAGCACTTGGCCAAGGGGGAGACAGAGGACTTCAGCCAAGAGTGGTTTGGCATGCAACTAAAAACAAGTTACCCAGGGATGTCAGAACATGCGCCACTAGAAATCCCAATTGAATGACTTACGTTTTTTGTTGCCTTACACCCTGAAAAAGTTTACACCCTGAGATGGTTACAATCCCTTGAAACACCTTCAGCTCCTTGTCAAGGTGGTCACAGCGATCTGAGAAGATTATGAAGGAAAGTACTTTTGAGTGCCTTTGTTTGCAGTATATACTTCGATCGATCAGTCAGTATCTGTTGGGCTGAAAATACACATTTTCTGACTGGTTTTGCATGACTCTCACTCAAAGGGTAAAAGTCAAAGTATTCGATCATACATATCTTTGACATGGCTGGTCTCTGAAGACCATATACCAAAAAGTTCTACATATCTACATGCTTTCCTTTGCTGTATCCAGGTGCACGAAGGTCGGGCTGAACGAGTCCAAGATTCGGCATCGTCCTCAATTTCCTTAGCTTGGCTGCATTCAGAACTCTGCTGGCGCAACATTTGGACCATAGGATGGCACATTCAATCTGCCCCGAGAGTTATATCATTTTGAGTGCTCTGGTAACTGGTAATTTATCTTTCCAAAAGTTTCATCAAACAATTGCACAGGAATGCCAAACGTCACTTCAAGAAGAAGGAGAAGGAACCTGAGAGCTGAATCCGAAACATATAAGTATCACTAGAGTGTGTCCTGTAGTTGGCTGATTGGCTGAAAGGCCAGTCCGAACTATTTTCGGGGCATTTGGTTGTGTTCTTCAACACAGCCCCAAGTTGTTTCAGTATGGGGTTGGCAATCCTCAGGTGCCATGCGCAGTCTGTACACTACAATAAATGTTGTAGTTCGAAGATGTTATGTTTCTCAATTTTCTGACTGACTATTCGAGGTCAAGATAACTTTTCAGTTTTGCAGATTTGCTCACAGGATGACTGCAGTAAGTAGCAAACAAGCAGGAGTGCCACTACAACAGCCTACATGGCTAAGTCCAAAGCACTGCTCCGGGGTTCAATGCGGAAAAACAAATTAACCAGCCTCCCACCTGAAGCACTTTACCCATTGAAAGACAGAACGTTAGGAGCCAACCGTCCTGCCAGGTGCTGGCCCTACTGCCAAAGTCTTTGCAGCCAATGTTGGGGCAGGAGCTTGAAACTCAGATCTGTCCAGTTCAGAACCCCGAATATTTTCAACACAGCTCCAGCCCAGTGGTCGTTAAACCCATGTTGTTGTTCTTGCAACCTTTTTGCTCAACAGATTTGGGCACCGCTGAAATATCTTTGTCACAAAGATGAAACACGCAACAGCCAGTCCTACACCCAAAAACATGTTCTACACATAAATTAAGAATCCATGCGTCTATGCAATGTTTTGGTCTGAGAGTGGTATGGACTACTATAACCCACCAAACTTTCTATATATCTATATCCGTTTTGCCGCTAAGTGCTTTCTGAAGTTGCCATGTGCGGCAGCGAGTGCAGCGATGATGAGCTGCTGGAACTTCTGACCTGCCACCGTCCAGTGCTTTGGCTTCACCAGCAAAGGGCAGTGAACATGTGTTACACCACACGTGTTAGGCTTGCCATGCTCTTTGCACATATAAATAAAATATAGTTAGGGCCCAACAGTTCGGGGTAAGAATTCATGTGACATCCCTGGTCATTCCTCAGGCTTCCTTGGGTCCCTATGCATGGGAACGACAACCACGGGATTGCCAGAGCAACATTCGAGTGCTTGCACCTGGTGATGCTTGCAGTGATGGTTTGCCCCTTGATATTGACACCCCAGAGTTTAGAAGTCGGAGTCCACGCCGTTTTCCCCGTCATGATTTGATGAAACCCTCCTACTTGGATGATGAAGACCTTAAACAATGTGATCGGTCAGATGTGGTTTTCCATCGAATTAGCCAAGAGGATCATATGTCCTGCCAATTGCCAAAGGCAAAGGCGACAGCTGGCCGAATCCTAGCCCATGCAGGGGATGTGGTTGAGGCCCTAATCAGAAAAGAAAGTCCACTTACTTTCAAAATCGGCATCACCCATTGCCCAATTTTCAGATGGTATCACAAGCCTTATGGATACCAACATGGGGTTGACAAGTTTGAAAAAATGGTGATGCTGTATGCATCCAGCTCTCCGATCGGACCAGCCTTTCTCGAAGCAGCGTTGGTCGACAAGTACCGCAGCTGCTTGGCAAAACATTGCAAAATCAAAGCAGCAAGTCGGACACGCTCAGAGTAGAAAGCATGTGCTTGCCCTAATTGCATTTGGTGTGATACGGTTCCCAGTGTCTTGTTGTTTTTACTTCACAGCCTAGGTGTGAAGGGGTGCAAAAATGTTCGGAGTGGTGGTGATACTAGCGGCAAGGACTTTGAAGCTGATGGCCCTTTTTTACTTATATAGTCTATAGATCCTTCAAGTTTCCTCCACCAATTCCTCCTTTGCGGCAGTGAAATCCGGCTGCTAATTCATGAGCTTTACTTGTCACAGCCTGAGCTGATCATGCGTTTCTCAATGCATCGTTGCACCTGCAATGTGGTGACATTTTCTTGGGCTTGAAGAAAAAAAAGCGATCGATCCAGAGCGAAGTTTGTGGACCATTTTTTGATCTTACCAAATCACCTCTTGTTCTTCATTAGCACCGTTGTCCCCACATCTTTTTATTACCCCCCAATCCAAACCCTTCATTCTGGCTAGCTGAGGCCTCTTGCAGCTCTCAGATTTCTACAGCAAGGGCTGTGACTTCAGAAATGGGTGAGGTGGCAGCCACAAAATCAGGCATTGCTCGATGGGCCCAAATCAGAAATGAAAATAGCGAAAGGGATGTCCATCGTGTTGTGAAAAAACAACGAACCAGTTTGAACATACCCATTGATGAAATGAACGTCAGGGGCAAGAGTTTGCCATGGATCAATCCCAGAGCTTGGCTGGAATACATTGTTTCACATGGCCTCCTTTATATGCTGTCTGGGCTACAATTTGAAAATCGGCATTTGGTTGAAACATATTGGACAGAATTCTGGGCCCGATATGAGACTCTGAACCCTGACTATGGTCTCTTCGACATCGACACTATTGACCGGGCTGACTACGGAAGGGTTATAGGTCTTTTTATTCATGGAGATGAAGGAAGAACTTTGAAAAAACAAGGGCTGATGGTGACAAGTATACAATCAGTGCTGGGCTCGGGTTTCTCTAGCAAACGTTTGAAGCGGCCTGCTGGTGCAAATGATGCTGGTAAGCTCCATGTTAACTTCGCTGGACATACGTTTCTGACCAGGTTTGTTTTGAGTGTGATTCACAAAGTGGATTACCAATCCAACGCGGAGGTGTTTCATGATGCTATGGACGTTGTTGCTGAATCACTACGGGATTTGCTTCACACTGGCATTGTTGATCGACTTACTGGTAAAACTTGGAGATTTGCAGTTGTGGGTGTCAAGGGTGATATGCCTTACCTTCAGAAAATGGGAAGACTGAAGCGCTCCTGGAACACTACAGTGAAACGGGGCAACCAACGCACTGCTCCAAAAGGTGTATGCCATCTTTGTTTGGCAGGCACCAACCAATGCCCAGCTGAGGATACCGCTGATAGAGCTGTTTGGTTTAATACCATTGGGGTTCAAGTGCCGTGGGACACCACACCAGGGGTTGTGAGGCTGCTTCCACACCCAAGGGCTCACCCAGGTTCGTTTTTCCAGGCTGACCTATGGCATTGCGTGCATCTTGGCATTGGCAAATCTTTTATAGCATCGGTGATTCAATTGGCTCTTGAAACAGTTCCGGCTACGAACAATGATGACCGTTTTCAATGGCTTACTGACCATGATCATAGATGGTGCAGATCAGTGAAGGCTTCATCGCATGTCTCGAAAATCAGTGCATACCTTGTGTCCCACGGGGATGGGCCGGGTGCAACAGGAAACTGGTCCAAAGGAGGGCTGACGACAAATCTGGC